TATTTAGGAATAGTAATTTAATAATTTTTCTACTATATAAAGCTTTGATTTTTCAATTCCAATTCACACTAGGACAATTCGTTCATTGTCAACTCCATTTACATTTAGGAGTATTAAATTTCTCCTGTTAGGTTTAGGAGATGTTTTTGGTTTCTTAAATTTTAAAACCAAAAGCAAATAAAAATAAGCAATTAATATTATTAGGTTTAGTATTCTTTTACTCCTATCATAATTATCGTGGGATAGAAGTCTAATCTTTAGTTTTCTAGATTTAATGTTACTTTAGGTTTAGTATTCTTTTACCATAACCGAATAAAAAATCACCAATTAATGTTAGTTTAGGATTAGTATTCTTTTACCAAAATTATCTTAGGATTAAAGCTTCTAGAGTATTAAAATCAAAACCATTTAAAATAAGGAGGAAGTGAACACTTTTATAAAAAACAAAAGTTAATATGCCACATTCTTTATCATAAACTCTTAATAATATCAATGTCTGCAAAGATAAATTTAGTAGTGATTGTCACTTTTGATTTTTATTTACAATATATCATGTACGATTATTAGTCTAAAATTTTCTTCAGTTGTAAATTATAATGTATGTTTTTCTATTGTGTATTATACAATTATTATTTTTTGCATAAAGGTAATTGTCTGTAATGGCAACCAAGTTTCTCTTTTTCCTTTAATCTGCTTTTTATGTTTCCTCTTCTTTTTCTAATGCATTTTGTATCTGAACGAGCAATGATGGTATCTTTTTGATTCTGAATAATATTTACTAGATTTTCAGTTATAAAGATACGATTTTGTTATATTTATACTAAAATATTATTTTTTTGGTTGTTCCAACTTTTTCATATTATAAGTTAGATGAACAGTTGCATTTGAGTCACTCTAAAATAGTAATTGTGGTAATAATTTTGTTGTTCACTCTTATATAAGACGGATTTCAATAATGATATTAGGTCTTATTATTTATTATTATCGTATATTCATTTTATTTTAAATCTATTGTATTTTGTTATGCGTGCGCATATATGTTTGTACAAAGGCTTTTGTAATATGAATTGAGACTCTACATGTTTTGTAGAAAAACTTTTAGTTCAAAGTTTTATAACAATTAAAATGCACTACATGTGGGTTGCGTAACAAATAATGCAACCATATAAATTAGAATGCTCACTTGTACTATATGTAAAGTTATTCTTATTTATAAGTGAAACAAATATTTTGGGATAATTATAAAGGCAATACACAATTGGTTTATTATTTTTAATGAAATCAATGAATTTCATATTAAATAACATTATCATTTAATTATATTTTTTATATTTATAATTTTAAAATTAACTAAAGTCTTAGCTATTGAAGTTTTTCTTATTAGAAATATATGTAAAACTCCTAATATTTAATAATTTAAAATAAAGTAAGATTTTACATATTTTTTGTTGGGCTTTTATGGAACTCTGCTTTTGTTTTCTTTTCCGTCGTCTCTTTGTTGTTTGTGAAGGTCTACTCCTTTTCGTTGTTTTGGTCAAGGTATTTATTTTAGCACTATTACGTATTATTAAAGCCAATCTAGAATGTAACTTACTTCGTTTTAAACATAGTTTTTACAAATCATACAAACAACTAAATTGATAAAATACAGTGGCAGCACGAATGCCCTTAACGAAATGTCGTTCGTCGTTTTTACCCTTTTAAAATAGAATTCATACCGGATAAAATAGTCATTTAATTATTTTTTCTATTGTTTAGGAATAATTATTTAATTAATTTTCTTCTATTTAGGAATAGTAATTTAATAATTTTTCTACTATATAAAGCTTTGATTTTTCAATTCCAATTCACACTAGGACAATTCGTTCATTGTCAACTCCATTTACATTTAGGAGTATTAAATTTCTCCTGTTAGGTTTAGGAGATGTTTTTGGTTTCTTAAATTTTAAAACCAAAAGCAAATAAAAATAAGCAATTAATATTATTAGGTTTAGTATTCTTTTACTCCTAAACCTAATAATATAGATAACCCAATAGTATAATTAGGGGTATTCTTAGACCATTTTCGAAAGTATATGGGTATATTTGGACCTTTGCCGTTTAGACTATTACCAGGCTTGTTTTTCTATCATATCTTGTTATATCTGTGCCTTTCCTGCTTGTTTGATTATCTGAGCCTTGATTCATGTTAAAAATCATGTTTAAGTTATGTGATTATTCGGTTGAGACCTAATGAGGACTATTTCTATTGTTTTGAGCTATCTGTCTTAACTGTAGTTATACACTCAGTCATGATTCTTCATTTGCATATCATATCCCAATCTCGATTCATCATTCGTTGTTACATGGCACATTGTTTAGGCTTTCCATATGTGTGTTACACCCCATATATTTGTACGTGAGAATACATCGTAAGTCAATTGCTGTAAGCTCAGAAATAAGATTATATTTGAAAGTGTATAAAGTAAGTTAATCATGTTACCTTGGAGGTTACAAATATTTAAGATCATGAATAACAAGTACCAAGAGTGTTGGAAGGCTTAGAATCTAAACAAATTGAAGAAAATAAGTTTCGTCGGAAATCGACAAGTTGGGAATATTATAACATGTATTTTTGGGGTAAGACTAGGGTTCTTAATATGATAAGGAGGTTATGTTATGAGTTATTATAGTTGTATGATAGTCGTATGTTTTGTTTTGAAGTCAAGAGAGTTGTGAAAGAAAGTTAGCAAAGGTCATCACAAGTTACATTTATAAATGGCTGCCATGCGCAGTCTTCTCCCCAGCTTCAAGCCGTGGGAGAGACCAACGCTAGCCTCAAAACCAATACATATGCTTCATTAATCACATAAAAACCCCAACCACTAATCAAAACAGCCCTTAAACCTTTCTAACTTGTTCATGGAGAACTTATGATGCCGTTTTCTTTTAAGGAACTGGAAGAATATGTTGTTGAGGAAGGAATTCACCAAGCTGTGGTGATGAAGTTATCATATGGTGCACTTAAATTGCAAGAACTTCGAAATTTACTTCCAACACAAATTGGGATTAAAGGTCGCTGCTTGATCGGCTTGCTCGCGTTTCGACAACTATTGATTCGTTGTGATGTTTATGAGGATTTTGTAACAGTTCTTTCGAAGCAGGTTGGTTATTTTCAGTACAAAGGACAACAACATCAATATCGTACAGTCCCATGGACTCAAGACTACAACCCTAAGGTGGAGACGTCAAAAATAGTGGCATGGGTGTCGTTTCCAGATTTGTCGACGAACCTGTTTGCCAAGAAACCTCTACTGTTAATCGCTTCAGCTGTTGGGAAACCTATTGCTATAGACAAAGCCACACAGGTTAGGACAAGACCTAGCACAACTAGGGTTAAGGTAATACTTGATCTTCTTGACAAGCAGCCCAATAATATGAAGTTGCAATTTATAAATGAGCAATCTGGAAAAGTTATTGAACATGTACAAGAGTTTGTCTTTGATAATCTTCCATTATACTGCAAAATTTACAAAAGACAAGGACATGATGATGATGAGTGTCGTCCATTGATTAAAAGAACTAGAGGGAATGGCAATATGCAACGGGTAGAAGAACTGGATGATGGCCAAAACATTGAGAAGTATCAAGGTGATTTGAGGAGGTTGTTAGATGAAAAGAAAAAATTTGTTGATCGTGTGACTGAGCAGCAAGGTATAGGTGGAATGGGCTTGGACTTAGCAGAAAATAATGGTGGAAAATCTCATATTGATGGCCCACAATCAGCTGCTGTTAAGGCCCAACTTACATCAGGTGTTACTGGTGTTGTTGATGTTCCAGTTGCAGCAACTCTAGCTAGTGTCCCATGATTTGAAGGCTGTTAAAGATCCTATGAGTGATCGAGTTTCAACTGGGTTTACTGAAGGTCCATGTAACGACCCAATCGATCGTTTTAACTTTTAGAACCCCGTTCCTCTAAATAAAACTCCCCGAATGTGTTTTTAGTGATTTATGACTTGCGAGGATGGTTGGTTCGAGATTTGGAAGTGTTTGGGTTGAAATCAGAAAATTTGGTTCCTTAAGTTAGCCTTAAAAGGGCAAATTTGACTTCGGTCAACACTTTGAGAAAACGACCCCAAAATCGGAATTTTAAGGTTCCAGCAGGTTCGTATGTTAATAAGTGAACGAGTCATATTATAAGCGATGTAGGGTCTAAGGAGGGCCCTAAGTATTAATCAAGTTGGAAATTACATGATAGACTAAAGTTCCAAATAAGTACACACAAAAACCTAACTTTGAACGAGCATGCCTATAGATATATAGGGAGTTATATGGTAGACAACCTATCAAATGAAAGATCTTTGAGTCTAGTTTCTAACGCTTTCGACCGTTTGTCATTTGGATATTTCTACAAGGACTTATGGACGTTTTAGTAAATGGTGTCCAACAGGGCAAAACTTGTAATAGGAGGTACAACCTGCACAGCGCAAGGTACAACTCGCTGAAACACCTGTGCCTTTATAAGGCAGTCACGGGCAGCAGCCGTTTTTGGGGATTTTCTTGAGCTAGGGATTGGTTCTTTCATGGTGGATTCGACGTTGGGGACTACTTAAGAATACAAGGTGAGTTTTTTTGGATATTTTAAGTTAATAACATCCTATTAACACTAGTATTAACATCCTTCAATCTTTAAAATCCCTAGAAATCTTTCAAGTTGTTCAAGAACACCAAATTTCCCAAACATTGGAATTTCAAGGAAAAGCTTCAAGAAGGTAATACTAATACTTCAAGCTCATTTCTTATGAGTCGGTGAGAGTAATTCTAATAGTTGTTTCAAGTTGTTATGGTTGGATAATTGATTTCATAAACTCTAGTTCATGGCATGAATAGTGTTCTTGAGAAAATAAAGGAAAGATAAATAGTGTTCTTAGAAATGAAATTAAAGGATGCAATGAACCTATGGAATTATATTCTAGCTTAGTTGGAAGTATTCAACTAAGTAATCACCAAATTGAATCTTTTGGAAATGTTGGTTAAGGAAGACGATGAATAGTAATTTGGCGGTGTTGGAGAATTAATGTAGTATCATTGATGACTTCAGATGGGTATTGAATGATAAGAGTGGAGTTGAATGTGCTAGTAAGTGAACCTATTAGACGATTTGAGCTGGAGGCTTGTAGCCAACTTGAGAGCCATAAATGGATATTGATAAATATTTTTGAATCATATTTTGATTGTAATTGGGATTATAATTGTAGATATCAATTTGTTGGTGGCGTATGAGTATTTTACTCAATGTTACAATGTCGGAGGAGGATTAGAAGCTTGTGAATATTAAAAAAGCGAAAGCGAGTTTTGGAGAGTTGGGCATCGGTCGAGTTATTTGAAAGGCTTAGGAGCCGGCTATGGAACCTCGGAGCGAGGTAAGTCTCTTGTCTAATCTTGTGAGGGGAAAATTACCCCATAGGTGATTAAATTAGTAATGGTTGCTAATTGTGGGGGCTACGTACGTACGAGGTAATGAGAGTCCGTGCGTAGCTACTATTAATGCTAAAGTCCGGGTAGTTTAGGACACAAAGCATGAATTACTTGTGTAAATTATTATCTTTATTTAATTGAATTATTTGATATATAAATTGTGAATTGTTAGGAAATATAATAAAGATGAAAATTTCATATGCTTAATTTTCTGTTTAAATTAATTAACTATTTAAAGAAATTGTTCATCCTCCCGAATTTATCTTATAATGAATATACTCTCCTTCCGGAGGTACATAAGAAAATGTCCTCCTTTCTTGTGGAGCGGGCCGAATGCCTCGGCAGGATAGATGCATTTATGGATCGTGCCGCACATCCCTCGATAGTGTACACAAAATTCTGGATCTGGCCGTACGATCTCGGCAGAAATCGTGCTTAATAATAATAATAATAATAATTACACGATACTTGGATAGTTTATTACAGCTTGTAAAGCTATTTGATAAATTAAAAATTTATTGAAATTGAATTGCAGCTTGTAAAGCTATTTGATAAATTAAAAATTTATTGAAATTGAATTGCAGCTTGTAAAGCTTATTGAAATTGAATTGCAGCTTGTAAAGCTATTTGATAAATTGGAATTTTTACTGAAATTGAAGGATTTAATTAATAGATTAGAAAGTATTTGAATTGAAGAAATTTAATTAATATATTGAGAATTATTGGAATTGAAGGAATTTAATTACCTCTGCCGGTACAATAAAATTATTGTTAACTCTTTGAATCACGTTGACATAAATATTTCTATTTTCATGATTATTTAATATTATTGACCCATAGTGAGTGTCATAGTCGGCCATCTTGTCTCTACCTCTTCGAGATTAGGCTTGATACTTACTAGGTACACTTGTTTTCGTACTCATACTGCACTTGCTGCATATTTTATTGTGCAGGTACATATATGTATAGCGGCCTTGTGGGTGCAGAGGTGTGGTTAATAATTATGGAGACATAGGTGAGCTGCATTCTATATTACGATCTGCAGCTAATAGAGTCTCCTTCAGAGTTATTATATTTTCCTGTCTAATTTTTATTCTAGACAGATGCTGTATTTTATTTTAATTCCCTAGTAAATGCTCATGCACTTGTGACACCGGGTTTTGGGATGATTATGGGTTGCACTTTATTGGAAATTTTTAAAGATATTAGTACGTATTTGGTAAATGTCATCTTCTGCTATTTAATTGGGGGGAACAACTATGACTTCAAAAATATTAAAATGAGAATTTATTTAGTATTTATTGTTAGCTTGTTTGACAGCGGTGTCCGATGCCATCACGACCTATAGGTGAAATTGGGTCGTGACAGTCCAAGTGCTATGCAAAAATCTAAAGAAGATGGAAACCAAACCATTAATAGACAAGGGCAATTTAACATACATATTATAGCAGATGAGAAGGATAAAAGAGTTGGGCATGTGGTTGATCGAGGTTTAGCTGGAGCTTCTAAAGGTTCAATTATTGAACCTGGGCATCTTCAGCAGATGATGGATGATAGTGCATTAGCTGCAGCTGTTCGAGCAATCATTGCTAAGAATAATGCAGCAGTAACATGTGCACAATTTGATACACTTGGAAATGTTGAATCAGCTGTGCAAGCAGCTCATTTAGATGTTGTTGTTGTTATTGGATCAAGTGTTGAAGGTGTTCGACAAACTTCTAATGACCAAGGAAAAGCTAAGGATCAACAGGTTACTCAAGTAGCTTCTAAACCTACAACTGCTAACATGGAAGGACATGAACATGGAAAGGAAGATGTTGCTACTGGAATTATTGGCAAGGGAGATGCTAATGCAATTGGTGGAACATCTTCTTACAAGAAGGCTACTGATATGTTAAAAACAGGTTCTCTAGCAAGAAGGTGTCTTCAGATCATAAAAATCTGGAATCGGCAACAAAACCTTTTAAGTGTTCTAACTCTTTCGATGCCTTGGTTAGTGCACATGAACATGGTGAGAAAGATTCTAGGAAGAGTTTGGAATTGGTGGATGGCAAAGAAGATACAAAAGCTGTAAAAACAACACTCCTGGCAGTGCAAAGCAGCAACAAAAGACGAAGTCTGCGGGTGCGCAATCTATGGCTTCAAGGGAAATTATTCATATAGATGGCTTCAACAATGTCCAGGTATCTAATGCAGCTCCTACACTGCAATTCTCCAATCCAGAATTAGCTAAAATGATCAAGGAATCCCAGGCAGCTATGATGATGCATACCACTCCAAAGAGCAACATGCCATTGGTCACTCTAAATACTTCAGTCCAGGAGATTCCATCTCAATCATTGGAGTCATGTGGTGAGCAAGATGGTGAGTCTGGGCAGCAGTTACTATATACAGGTAATGATTAACAAGTAGACAAAGTCATGGTGTCAATTTCACAATCTAATTCTACAAGTGAGTAGCCTACTCCTAAGGGTCGAGAAGATGTGAGGGTGCAGTTTTGTTTAATCGTAAGCTGTGGGCTGATCAAGTAGAAGATAAGGAAGAAGAAGATTATGCTAATAGCATCAAAGATGATAGCAATGATGAGGCAGATTAAGTTTCAATTAGCTACACATTAAATGACGAGGCAGTAAAAGGTCACGATGAACAGGTTCCTAACTCCTCTTCTACTTTGTCGAGCAAGAGAGGGTTAAGCCCCAATGCTCATGTATTTATTCCTACCGGACAACAGCAAAATTCAACAATTGTTTTGAAGAATTTTCCTAATGCTAAGGGAAATAACAAGGCCTTAACTCCAGGTATGCCAACAAACACAAATGCACCTTTTGCAAAAAACAATCTGACCTTGAAAAATATTCTTCAAGCTCTTGTCTCTCATGACATGGAGACATTGAAAATGCTTGATAATCTGATCAAGGCAGTAGCTATTACTTCCATGCCAATTGATATTGTGGCCAAAAGACACGAGCCAAGAGATCTAGTGCCCGGATACAATCCTATCGATGCTTTTGAGATTGATATGGGTCACGATTTTTATGAATAAGGGGAAGAGGAAGAACTCCTAGATGCATCCTTTAAAAATATAGATAGGGAGTAAGATCTTTTGTCACGACCCAAACCGATGGGACGTGACANCCACATACTATCCAACTATACATGACTGTCTACAGACCTCTAACAGAGTGTACAACTATATAAAAGACGGGACTGAGCCCCTTCATACCCATATGTATACAAACGTATCGTACCAAAACTCAATAGCAGTTCCGGATCAAATGGAGCACATCAACTCTAGTTGAGCAAGGATCCTAAGATGGGGGACCGTCAGCCTGTCTACCTGTACCCGGGGGCATGAAACATAGGCCCCAGGTAATAGGGGCGGCAGTACGAATAATGTACAAAGTATATAAGGCATAAAAATTAGTACATAAAAGACATGAAAGAAACATGGAGTAAATGAGTCAACCTGTAAGTCTGAATAGTTCTGTGAATCATGAAACATTTATAATGTCATGCATATGCGTATAAATGTCATATCATACATAGGTATATGCATACATAACATCATCAAGCCTCTGAGGACATCCCATCATATCATCTCAGCCTCTGTGGGTGAACTATACCAGCTGATTAGGTGGTAGTGCGTATATAATGCCATAACCTTTTCCCATACCCCATATACATATACTATACGCGTATATAACACCATCTGGTCATGAGTCAATATACATATATAAATGGATACAATGCATAATGAAGTAAGTCAATAAGATCTCTCAGAATGTCATGAGATCCATGAACATGCGATATGATAGTAGAACATATGGGGAATACAGAACATAGGCAACCCTAGTATTTCTAAGAATATATTCATTTATGAAAGTTGTGTGCTTGCTCGTTTCGTTGTATCATATGGATCATGCCAAGAGGAAAGAAGGGATAGCCTTAACATACCTCAAGTCGTCAATGCAACTCAACAACAAGCTTATGACAACTAGCGCGCCAACCCTATAACAAAAAAATACATGTACAACTTAGATGCCACTAGTGTATCACGTATTTCAAACGATAACTCGATTCTAAAATAAAACGGGCAGCATTTCCCCTAATTTTACTGGTCTCTCAAGACTACTATAGGTAATATACAAACATAATACAATCAACAACTCAAAAACAACCCAACTACAATTCGGGACCTTCAATACAACAAAAACCCCAAATATACCATAACACACCCAATCAACAAGTTATCAATTAGCCTGAAATTGCAACGACGAGCAACCAACCTACTACCCTACCACATGTGGCGTTTCTCCATGCCCTTTTATCCTTTCAAACTCCATAAATCAGCAGCACAATAGGCCAACATGAGTGGACTACAAAACAGTCCACTAACAGTAAAATAAACCAAACTCACGATTTCCAATCAACATCCCGTGAGTTCTAACTATTAGGAAATAAATTTATCAACATCAATTGATATTTAAAGCTTAAATACAGAAATTAAACATTTTCTTAACTATGAAGTACCTTCCAAAACTCATACTACAAATAAAAAGAGAGGCGATATAGCGATACTAACATCGTAGGGATCATTTTAATGTTATCACTTCTTGATTTCGTACCCGGGATGTTAATCTTCTTTGAAACCCTAAAAGAGAGCTTATGGATATGTTTATGGATGTTCTTAGGTCGTTTTCTATGGAAAAATAAGATAAAAATGGCCTAAGACCTATATATATCAACTTTGGAAAAGTCAAAGAGGTGCTAGCTTAGCACCCTAGCATTGGCCCATCTTCCGACGCTTATATCATTTTATCCGGATGTCGTATGAATGAACGGTTAATAGAGTTGGAAACTACATTCCAAGACCTTCAATTGGGTATATAATATGTCCCAAAAAGACACCA